CTTTTTCGGGAGCTACGATGGGAACAGGGCTAACAGAGTTTTCAGACATGATAAGAAACAGGCGATCTGTTTGACACAGTCTGAAACATGAAACTACATCTCTTTGGTGGCACCAGACCGGCACTGAGTGTGGGAGAAATATAGAGCAGAGCAAGGTTGTTTTATCAGCTGATATCAGCTCCATTCACCAAGTACATGTGGAAGTACAAGAGATGTGGATCCAGTTGGAAGTTTGCTCGATGTATACACACAGCACAATAAACAGAGGGATTGAAATATTAATATGGAAAAAATATTTTTTAAAGAATCAACAATGACCAACGTCATGTTTGTAGCCTATATGGTGTAAAGAAAAACATATTGACAGAGATTACGTTTTAATTTTAGTAAATGCATCTAAGCCTACACAGTATCATTTGTTAATGTAACCTGTTATAGGTTAGGGTTTTTGTTGGTCAGTCAAAAAGCACCTTGACACAACAAACTGAGCCAGAGCAGCTGGTTTTAGAGTAAATATCCAAACAGTGTGAAGGGGATCCGGCTAAGCTCCCGACTCCATCAGTATAGCCTACAACTCTATCTTTTCGTGGTAGCTACAGAAATAGTTTAGTGTGGTGAGTCTTGGTACCACTCTTGCATAACTGCAGAATTACAGTGTGCTGCCGCCGTGTCCCGTGTGGAGCTCAGGCTGCAGGATTTTTTTTTTTTTTTTAGGGATTTTCGTTGAGCAGCACGAAGTGTACCCTCTGTCCAGTCTTTTCTGCATCCATTTAAAAAAATCAATCAGTCTTATCATCGACTAAAATTTGGGCAAACACTTAACAGGTACCAGCAGAGTGACGTGTTTGTGTCTTTGAATGGTTTCGTGCTCGGAATGAAAACACGACTTAGGGTAAACGTAAAGGTTTCTGTGTCTAGATGTAGTTTGGGACAAAGGTGAGCATCCCTCAGGAATACAATACAACATCCAACATTCAGAGTCAGGTATTAGCCTTACTCACCGTGGTTGAACATCACGGACCGAAACCGGTTGTTGCTGGACGAATTTTCCATCTTTCAAAGTTTCCAGCGGCTGCGACCTCTTTTTCTTCTTCTTCTTCTTCTTCTTCTCCTTCTTTTTCTACTTCTTCTTCCTTCTCGGTATTTCCTTAATTTCCTCTCTCAGTCTCAACACAGCTGCGGTGAGATGACAGTCTGTGTTGTGTTCAACCGGACAAACCCGTCCCCCTGCGAGTGTGTGTGTGTGTGTGTGTGTGTGTGTGTGTGTGTGAGAGACTGTTTGATAGCAACACACACTCACGCACACATCGCCAGCCCAGTGACGTCACGAGCCGCAGCAGCAGCAGCAGCAGCAGCGGAATGAAAACAATCGCACGTGGATGTGATGGGAGATGGGTCACGTGCTGCACCTGAAAGAAGAAGGAAAAAAAAAAAAACACTATTCCTGACGAAAATGAACAACCGTAATCAGGTTTGTGTATGCGTAAAGTAACAGAGTAGACAAATAGAAAAAAGGTATTTGAATGTTTAATTAATATCAGCAAACCTAAACACTCTAAAATTGAAACAAAGTAGGCTATACATTGGTTTATAATTAGAGCTACAACAATAAAATAAAAAATAAAAAACCTTCAGTATAACGTAGTAGGCTAGCTCATGTGGGACTATATATCCAAATCCATATTCTTTTTGCATTTACACTTAAAACTATCCGAGTAAAGTCACTTTGTAACTTTGCACATTGCTCAAATGATGTACCTGAGAACAGTACTCAGTTTAACTAAAGTTTGTATCTACTTCATTACAATAAAACCTTTGGCTCTACTTGGATTTGGCTTTACAAATTGACTTTATTCTTTACAAAAATTCTAGATGTTGCATATTTTCAAATTAAAACACATGATCAGTTGATAAACATATCGATGCATATGGAAGAAATCTCTAACTACATAAATTATCTGTTGCTCAACACTAATGTGTCTGCATTACTAATCAATACCATAGTAATTTTTGACTTTCCGTGATGATGATTACTTTTATTAAATACCTCTGTACTTGTAATTTGATGTTTTGGGTGAAATACTTATGCAGTATTTCTACAGTGTTGCAGAGTGACTTTTAATTTAATTAATGATCTGGATTAGTTTTTTTGCCACTGTTAATATGATTTATTTAGCTTTTTAAAAAATTGTAATTTAGGATTATGACTTTATTTGTCTAACCCGGAAGAGCAAATAGCGACATCTTGTGGTCAATTTGTTGGCAGAGAAATTCGCATTTCCTTCTCTAAACAGATTCGGAAAATACATTTGACACTTGAATATAGCCTACTCATCTTCTCTGCTTATAGTGCTGTGCAGTTGTAGTGTGAACTCGGAGTGATGCATATGTTTGCACATATTATTGGAGCTGTCACACACGTGTGATTCAGTAGAAAGAAAAAGGATAACAGAAGGTGTTGTGGGTAGACCAAACTGCTTTTTTTCCACTGAGATACAAATACATTGTAAGAGAGACATGGTCATTAATAAGTTAACTCTTCAGTGTGTTTAAGAAGCAACAGTTTTATTTTTTAGCTGTGACAAAAGGACAAACAGTCGCCTCCTCTACATGTTCACGATCAGGATTAAAGTGCAGAATTGTTTTCACAGCTTGTGTAAAAAAATTAAATAAGACAACAAAAAAAAAGAAATATAATATTAAAATATCAAAACTGACAATGGAGATCAGAAAAATATAAATATGGTACAGAACAAGACGAAATCTCATACAACACAGTATCAGCAATGATATTCAATCCACTTGAATCAGGCTTGCACTAATGATACGTTAAAAAAAGGAACTCAGTTCATGTTTTCGAGTCGTTGGCAAGGCTAGCTTACAACAAAGGCACAGCATTGTTCGGAGGTAAAGATCCTTTGTAAAGTAGTGCTGCGGCGACATTCTCAGTGATCATCAATGCTTCCTCACAGACACAATCGAACATGCTCAACATGGCTCAGACGGGAATTGAGACAAAAAGATGGCAAAGCCATTAGTGTGTGTGCAGTGCATGCCCACGGACAGACACATCAACCGGAGAGGAGGTGCTTATTTTACAGAAGCGCATTTTGTGTTATCAGCCTAAACATTGACAGGTTACATGCTCCAAGAGTCTTACTATTAAAGCTGCTCTCCTATAAAGCTGCTGAAATTACTGAATTATGTGGCGTTAGCTCCAGAAAAGTGCGGCCCTGAGCCAAAAGAGTTGTGATGAGGAGTTAGAGGTGGAAACAGGCCAGTTTAAGTGATCTATTATCAGAAAGACCTGCAATGATTGCAGCCTCTTTGAGCATCGCATACAAAACCAAGCAGTCAGAAACAACACATCATTCACAAAGGACCAGTCTGTAGGCAGCGGGCAGAGCTGGGACAAAACATCCTCTGGGTAGTAAAGACCAGAGATATTTCAAGGTACTCATGTTGGTACTTGACTTTTGTTAAAGTTTGAAAATAGTAAGTATTTTCATTGATATGACTTTCCTCACAAAAAGGGTTTGTTCAGGTTTCTGCCAAAACTGTATTTAAAATGTTGAAGTGTGCACAGAAATGCACCTCCATAATCAGAAGTGTTGCTATCAAGAGGATGCATTTCCCAGATCCCATTTATACAGTCGAAAGGCTCTATCAGTGTCTTGCATTCATATAACAACCTGAACTGACATAAGTTATTTCCTTATCACAAGTTAGCCCAAGAGAGGAAATTAACAAACATGGCTTCAACATGCCATTTAGTTAAATAGTGCAAATTAAAGTACTCAAATCTATACAAAAAGATTTCAGTGGATATACATATGAATGTTTGTGTGTTTGTGTTTGTGTGTGTGTGTAAAAGAAAAACATTTTTTTTCTCATATTCTGGCTTTCTTTGACTTTTTTTGTCCTTCATCCTTTGTTTTGTAAATACATAATAAAGAGGCAAAATCGCTCGTGTTAAAAACTGTGTAGACTTAGTACATCAAGCAGCTTGTGAAAACAACAGCAAGAAATTAAGAGCAATCGGATTTTTTAAGTCTAGGGACAGAAAAGGTTTGTAAGAAGGTGCGAGAGAGAAATTGAGTGGAAGAGATTATTCTTGAGGAGTGCACATATTTATGCACGCAGACAGGAGTTCAGACAGACACATACATATAGTGGAATATACAGCTCACATTTACATGTAAACAAACAGCGGGTCGCCCACTGGAGGAGAGACAAATACTTGGACAGACAGCCGACATGATGAGGGAGACAAGCGTGTTTTTCTGACATGTCCGCCGCCAGTACCTGATGACATAATATCCCCACACCTGAGCTACTGTACAGTACATGAGACACGAGTGAAAAAATGACTGCTTACTTTACGCCAGCACTAAACCAAAAATCCAGCCATGATTCATATTTACAACAAACAAAAAAGTGGTTCTCAGGAGGGGTTGGGTTTTGACTGTATATGTATATAATCATTATTATTGTTTATTTTGATAAGGAAATGATAACTTCTTTTTTTTTTTATGTATGAATTTCATTGGGTTAATAAGTCCTAATTAGTTTGATCCCTGTCAGAATTGGCCTTGCCAGTTTAATGGCTGATTTTTAAGAGTAAATGGCATGTTCAGCTGCAATTTTGTTTTAATACATATGAACACCAGCATTGTTGTGTTTTATCACAGTAAACTCTTTTCATTAGTTAACAGCTCGATAACATGTTAAAGTGTTTGGAATCTTTATAAGAACAAATTGATCAATCTCAAATTACTCAAATTACATATAATCAGAGTTCATCAAAATGATCAGATCTGTTTTAACAAATTTCATGTGATTAAATATTCCAAACTTGCAAATAAATTGAATCTAGCATTCCTCAATGGACAGATGAAGACTGAAATCTTTTTGTAGGTGGAGCAAAATGACAAAATGTAACATTTACTGGGTGTGAATTCAGGGGAAAGGGATAATTTCTGGTGAAAAGATTTGGTTTCATCTCAATTGCTAAAAGCTCAGAACTTACCAAACTGGGGACAATACAAAAAGTAAAAGAAACAGCAAAAAACATGTGGCCCTATTAATTGCAGTCAAACTTCAACTCGCGCCATAATTTAAAATTTACTGGTCAGCCAATAAAAATATGGAAACGTAGCATAGGTATATAAAATATGTCTTTACATTTACAATATTTAAAACATTTACAATGTGGCCTGCTATTTACAGTGGTATGTGTTTGAGTATGTATGCTAGGTCAATATGAACGAGTCTTGAAATTGGGAGACGACATACCAAATGTATGCAAAAGATGTGTACCTCATTGTTAAGTCAGTGCTACACAGTAAATGAGGGAGAGGGGCAGTGCCACAGACACGTGTGGGTGTAGCAGTTTGTGACCAAACGAGGTCAAAGCGACACGATGAACCAGGATTTGACCTGACAGCATTATTTACAGTCATGCACACTTCAGTGAGCTATTTAAAGCTTGAAAGGTTTGTTTGACTTGTACAAGTGGACAGCAAGTGGACCTTAAACAAACAGGCCCCTCTTCTTTGTATTTTTCATAAGATCAGTTTTGAAATCCTAACCAAAAGCAAAACCAAAGTCACACAGAAATACCTGCAAACGCATACGGCACTATGTACTCTGTAGAGGCCTAACGTGAGGAGGCTGAAAGTTTCGCTGTAAGCCTTGTTTTCTGATTAATCCACATGAATATACACACTACAGCTAGTATAGTAAATATCCATGAATGAAATAACCTCTAAGGTTAAATTCTACATGAGTCATGATTTGAAAGTTGGGGTTTGATTGCATATGACATGTTCCACTTGAGCTCTGGGTGCAGCAGAATCAAGCTACCGTAGCAAATCACTCTTGATTTGACTTTGAATAAGTGTGTGCATCACGCACAAATGGCTCTTCAGACCCACACATTCCCCCTGAGTCTACTTGTTACGCCTGAACCAGCCGACATCTGCAGCCTCTCCTTCAAAACATGGAGGAGTGTTTACATTGCTCCTCCATCCACTGAGACAGGAGATCGCTGCCCTATTTGTGGTTAACTCTTAATTTTCCCACTCCTCCAGTTGCATTTGCCCCTACTCCGGCTGTTCGGGGTGGATGTGCAGGCTGTTTAAGGGACGCGTGATGCTGTGGTTTTCCCAGAAGGCTTTGTGCAGCTGGTCCAGTTCAGACATCAGGGGTAGACCGATGTCCAAGTGCATCTTCAGATTCTCAAGCCACTCTTCCAGTTTGGAGAAAGCAGGCCTGAGGTTTGAGAGAGAAGACACTGAATTGAGTTTAAAATGTATTTTTACTTATTCATATCAAATCTAAAACACAACAAAACATAGTCCTGACACATATGATTTTCATACAGACAGTAGTGTGATCAGAATACGTTTTAAAGTAAGCAGCTGTAGTTCACAAAAAGGCAGAGCTACTGAATGTAATATGTTAGTTCCCCCCGAAGTTAGGGGGCAGAAATAGTTATGTTGCCTGAACTGACCCTTAAGTTAACTATTCAGTGTGCATTTATTGTAGATGTCTGACCGTTTGTCTGCATCGAGGTCGCAGCACACAGCCGCCATGGGGAAGAAGGCGGGGGGACAGTTTTGGGGACAGAAGTGCTCCAGGAAGCCAGACACATTAAGTCCAAAGTCCATCGCCCTGGGGAGGTAGTCCGGGTCTGCATTCACCCTGCCAATGATCTGGAAAGAAGAAAAACAAAAAAACAAAAAAGTTAAAAAAGAGTAAGAGGAGTTATAGATAGAGCTGTCACATTTTTTTTTTTTTTTTTTTAAAGAGAAGAAAATCCTGTGCCGATCTGCTGGAAACCAGTAAACCCTCCAAACTGAAGCTGGTCCTACCCAACAGACCACAACTACTGTTTGTGTGCCTGTCAGAAGCCACATGAAGACAACACTGCTTCTCTGCTCTCTAATCCCTTCTCTGTTCTCTGGCTAATGGCGTCCGTCTGGGGAAGTCATACGCAGAGTGTCTGAACTAAACTGTTGAGCCTTCTGAGGGTGGTGTGTGTGCCAGGCCCAAAGCTCACCACATCGTAACGCTGGAGTTTCATCTGGGAAAAGAAAAACTCTTTGGGTCTCTAAAAAGCCCTCCCAGAAATAAGGAACGTTGGAGAAAGCAGGAATTTTTCCCTCATAAAATGAATGAGATGTTTTGCAAATATTAGAACGAGAAAACACCTTGTTCCTTAGAACTTTCAGTATTTAGCAGAAAACCTTTGAAATGCAAAGTAGAGCGCAATAAAGAAGACCAAGCTTTTTAAAAGGATTAAGATGCAGTTCTACACCTATGAAAATTATAATGTTGTAGTTCAACTTCTAGGATTTAATGAATACGAAAACTGCTGACTCATCTAAGAGTCAGGAAGATGTGAAAGTGTTCAAAAAGGTATTAAAGCAACAAGGAAAGAAACTTTTACAACTGAAGGGTAAGCATCATTTTAGGTTTAGAGTTTAGAAAGGAAGCCACTCACCTCGCAGAGCATGATCCCAAAGGAGAAGATGTCTACTCTCTCATCGTAGCTCCTCCCTGGGAAGGTAAAAAAGAGCACAATTTAGTTAGTTTTCTCATTTTAATGTCCCTTTTCAGCTAATTAATGTATAACGCAATATACAAGCACAATCAGTTGCACTAGAGTAACTTTAGTTCTGTGATATGAATAAATCATCTCAATCTTGTTGAAAAGAAGCAAACACAGAAGTGTCCCCCACAGAACATACCGTGTATCATCTCAGGAGCCATCCAGTAAGGGTTTCCGACCACGGTGTACCTCTTTCTGCGGTCAGGCTTCTTCAGCCCCGGCAGTTTACTCTGCAACAACTTCTCCTCATGCTTGTCGTCCACCATGAGCCGCGAGAGCCCAAAGTCTGCCACCACCACAGTGTTGTCCTTTAGAGAAAATGAAACACGTACCATTTTTAATGTCCTGCTGCATTGTTATATGTGGCAAAAAAAAAAAAAACTGTTAGAAAAAGTGGCTCAGAGACACAAGTTTTAAGATTAAGAAATCTGTATTTTGTTGATGTTGTCATATGTAAGCTCTTCAGTACAAATCTTTTGTTTTTCATACGACACCAACTAGCAATGCTGTTTCTGTTTGACTAATGTAAGCCGAAGGTTTTTCCACTGCAAGCTACTTGAGTAGTGTGTTTTAAGAAGGCTTAGTGTTGTACAGCTACTAACAAAGCCCTCGTTTGTTTTTGTACTCTGAGCGCTGTTGCAAGTGACAGGTGTACTGTCTCATATCCTCAAAGAAAACATACACTTTATGCTTTGGTATGTCACAACACACACACACACACACACAGAAGTGTACAGGAATACATAAGCTCTTACCTCTCTGACCAGGCAGTTGTGTGAGTTGAGGTCCCGGTGGATTATGTTCATGGAATGCAGATATGTCTGAATGACAGATAGATAGACAGATAGGAGAGCATGGGAAGGACAGGAAAAATAAACAGAAAAATAGAAGCTTTTAGTGGTGATCTTTAAACACATGGAAGAAGAACAGTGTTGCCTTGTTTCCTTGCACATGGCTGGTTTTGTCAATACAATAATCCATTCATGCAGGACATTCATCATTGTGCTCATACCATGGGAAACATTGAGAAGCAATGGTGTAATCCTGCAGGAATTCATTATGTCATTTTAACAGAAGGGGATGGAAATGATTGTTGACATTCTAACACAATGGATGTAGCTCATGAACATGACCCCTAGAGGGAGACAGCAGTGAAGATAACTGCTGCATCAAGGAATTTCACTACGTAAATTAGATTGAGGAGAAAGTGTTAGAAAATGTAATCTACACAACTACTTGTTTGTTTAAGTCACTGAACTCACCATGCCAGCAGCTATGTCCTTTGCAAAACTGACTCTCTGATTCCAGGGATAGTTGCCGTCCTGTGAGTAAAAACAAAACAAAAAAGCTTTAAGCAAAATACAAGGTGCAATTAAAGACCATCTCCTCCTCTGTCTCTCCACATACATTATGAATAACAATCAGAAGTAGAAACATTTGTATTGTGCTGGTTTGAACTTCTCTCTCACCATCTTCTTGATGATTTCTCTCAGGGTGCCTCCCTTGATGTACTCGGCGATGAAGTTGAGTCTCTTGTCCTTGTAGAGGACTCCGATGAACTTGAGCACGTTGGGGTGTTCCAGACAACGCATGACCTTCACCTGATAAAAAACACAAAACAACAACAACAGATATTTATACTCACTTATTAAAGCTGCTCTGGATCTTTGCTGCTTTTCTTGTTTTTTAGAAGTACGCTTGTCTTTGAGAGGTCAATGTTAATGCTCCTCTTACTATTGGCCAAGTCCTGTAATAGAATACTGAAGAAATTATAAATAGTTATATGTGGGCGTATGCTCTTTACAGTAAAGAAGGATACTACACTAATTAAGTTCTAATCTCTTGTGCTGTTTGGTTAAAATGCATAGGGAAAATACAATTTATGTAATGGGGTATAATTTTACTATTTATTATTTTTCTTACTTTTATTTATTTAAAATATGTAAAGTAGAGTGTAGTTCACTCTTTTGGTGGATAAAAGCTACTTATTTGTTTGTTGTACTGAGACAGGCGTGTGTACCTGCCTATCCTGAAGGTGGCAGCAGAGAGCCATTTCTTAAATGTTATTATTAATTCAAATACTTTTTAATCCTTCAGCCAATTAAAACAGTGTTTTAAAAGCCATATTTTGACTGATAAGTCTTGATCATTGATGTCACAGAGTTATAAACTAAGGATAAAGTTTTGTTTACGAAAAGGTCTTAATGGTTTAAAGCTTTATGGGAAAATGTTCCTTTTCACATCCTGTTAAAGACAATTGTTTGATTAATTCCAAAACCAGGGTCTCAATCTTTTCATCTCGCCAAGAAAGCACACAAGATGAATTTTCCAAAATGTGGACTTACTCTTTTAACTTTCTGTTTAATTAATACTAAGCAGAGTATGTAAATGTGTACTTCTAATATAAATATATATATATTCTAATATAATAAAACATACTGCCTGCTTAGTGTAGCACCTTCTTTCCCTAAAGGGTTTCGTCACAGCTTTACAGAAAGTAGGGTGTACAAGTAAAGGCGGTTAGAAGAAGCTCTACTCCTTATGATAACTCATAAAACATTTCCCTCCCTGAGGGTTGTATGGCTTCAAAGGAGGAGGAGGTCGGCCAGTATCACACACACATTCATCTGAAATATTACCCTTCAAATGAATATTCTTGAAATATAATGTTTTCTAAGCTTAAGTAGGGATGATGTGGAGCATTAAAAGAGACCAGAAGACTCACTAATATGAGAATAACAAACATCTGGTGGGAGTAATCACCAGGCTTCATTGTGGTTTGTTTTATAGCCATCTCTTCCTACAAGGCAAAGAATTAGTACTGCTGTAACCTCATAGTAAATCTAATTCTCACACACTCCTTTAAATGGGAACAATTTTTCAGGACTTCAAACAACCCAATTAAGAAGGATGATTTAGTCTACGATATCAAATATCTAACAGGGGCATCAGAGGGTCAGGTCATTTTGAGGCGTACAGAAGTCTAAACTTTTGCGTCTGAGTCATTCTTTGTTAACTTTCCAACTTAAAGGAAGGAAAGGAGATAAAGCTTTGTGCGAGAGTCTCTGCTCATGAATAATTTGAGAGAAAGAACATTGTTAACACTCCCATTCGTCCTATTTCAAGAGTAATTTTATATGTTTCGGTTTCATTTATTCAGGTGAGAAAATTCATCCTTTTCATCCAATCATCCTGCCCTACATTCACACAGAGAAGCAGTTGATTAAACCCATAATGTTCACAGTCTAGACGGGAACAAGAGAAAAATATTTTCCTCTACTTTCTTGGTATAAATATTTTTTAAGCAGGTTTAGGGTGATTTCTACTCTAAATCTCACACACTGACCAGCAACTTATCTTCAGTTATATCTGAGGAGAAAATATGTGATCAAGGAAATGACTTGAGGTCATCACTGGAAATATTGCACTCCGAAATGACGTAACATGTGGGATTGTCCATCAACACTCACCTCTTTAAGGAATGTTCTCTGAGTCTCATCATCAAAACGAATCAATTCTTTCATCACCATCACCTCTCCTGTCTCCTTGTGAGTAACCTGAAACAACACACAGAAGTGTAAGAGGCTTTCATTCCCCTTTCTGGATGTCAGCATGAGAGCAGATTTATGTAATATAACAGAAGGAGCTACAGACAAAAAAAAGTAACGTCTAGTCTCCCTACATTTCTATTTTGCCATCATCTGGATGTATGTGGATCTATGCATGCTGCATATTCACCTAACATGCTGACAAAAACCTAAGCTAACGGCGTCTAACCTTGATGGCCTGACCAAAGCAGCCCTTCCCGAGCACTTCTCCATGGATGAGGTCGGAAGGGCGGAAGATGCGGTGCGTCCGATTTGAGACGACTCTGAGTGACTCTGATCGATTGATGTCCTTCCTCTGGGAGATGGGGGACGCCGCATTGCTGGAGCCTGGTGACTTATCGATGCTGTAGCTTCGCCTGGAGGAGTAGAGGAAGAGAAGGGAGAGATAAAAAAGGAAGGGTTAGTGAAAAGGTTCAACTAAAAGGTGAGCAGAGTTTTTAATGAATGTTAAATTACATGTTTAATGACTGAAATAAATCATCTTTATACAAGACCAATATAGCAGATGCTTAAAGGACGAAGGACCTCATAAAAGCACAAAACCGCTTTATTGTGTTACTCATCTGATTTACAACTGAACCTATAGACAGCAATTCATGTTTTGCAAATTAATACCTAATATTAACAGAGTGAAAATACTATAAACAGCTTCTTTTTGGAGTTTCAACTTCATTTCTGTGGTGAATGCAACAACACTGTGAAGAGAAAGAGGCTAAAATGACTTTCTCTTTTAATAAAATATCAATCCTTTAAGCTGTGACTACAAATTTGAATAAGTTCAGTCAAACTAAATATAAAGTGCATGTAAGAAAAAAAAAATGCTGCCATGCAGGTTCAGAAAAAAAACTGTTGAACCTCCGTCACAGATATACATAATAGTGGTGGAAATATCCATCAAAAATTATCAAGGTCAGAAACTGCTGCTAGAACCACCAGTACAGTTCTAAAAAAAAAACAAAAAAACAAAAACACTTCTCCCTCCACATTTAAAAGACTTTGTCACCAGTCCTGTGTAAATGTCTTACGTGATGATGCGAGACTTCAGGTTACTGAGGTTGGGGGGCTGGGTGATGGGCAGGATGGGGCTGGGGACCTCAGACAGAGGAGTGGACAGGGGGCCGTCCACTTGCTCCTCCGCCGATGACGAGCCCCCCTCCTGACTGTGAGGGTCATGTTCGATGGTGAGCTGCAGCAGCCGGCTCGTCTCCTGGATCAGCAGGTCGATCTGAAGGAGTGAAGAAAGAAGTTTAAAGATATTCTGATGATAGTGTACCTCTAAGATAGATTTTTTTCCTCTTTACTTCCGTCATGTATAGCAATTTATTTTTGTGTGCAGTGATTACCTCATCTAGAGGGACATTGTGAATGGGTGTCCCGTTGATCTCAAGGATCCTGTCTCCAACATGAATGGAGTTTTTCACATCTGGGCTGATGCAGTCTGTGTCCACTCTGAATAAAACAGAACAATAAGCAGAGAAAATTGTAAAGAATAATGATTTATTTTTTCATCATTTGGACACAGAGCTAAGATCTGATAAATTCTCAGCTCATTTGAATAACAGTGACTCAGATTTGCTCATTTCCTTTACCTTCCACTCTATTATAAGTTTTAAATGAATCTCATCCATCACCCTGTGTTCCATTTTAAATCCACCCTTCTTCATCTTTTGTCCTACACTACGCCGACCTCCCCTTGACTCAGTGTCATAGCTCCACATTCACACAATGAACAAACACATGGGACACAAAGACTCACTGGGAGACTCTGACTGTGGGTCCGTGTTCAGGACTGTAGCCGTTGGTCGGGCTGAGCGGCTGGTCGATGGCCACAGAGAAACCTCGCCCTCTGCGTCCGTTGTTGCCTTCTGCCGTGGCCGGGATGGACACGAGTGTGACGGTGTGAGGGATCCGTGAGCATGGCGAGTCTGGCAGAGACACCGGGGTGACGATAGTCTGGTAGTAACAGTGACCGCTGCAGAGGGGGAGGAAGAGGAGAAAAAGATGAAGGCAGGAGGAGGGTAGTTGTTAAAAAGAGTAAGTTAAGATGCTGCTGTCATTATTTAGACTTGAGGGTCAACATGACCCCTGATGGGTCAATTATAATTCATAAGTTTGTTTTACTCATCTAAATTGTGTATTTTATTTTATTTGAAACATGAAGGATGCTTTGAATGTGAATGACATACATGAAAGAACAATGAAATATTCAAACTAACACACCAGTACTTTTAAATGAATATTTTTAATTTGCACATTTTCCTAGTCGTACTTGAGCCCACTGAATCAGATTCAATCTCTTAATTTATTTAATGAACCAAGACGTTCTCACTGTCATCATCCACTCAGGGACAAAGGCTGCTCTGTGTCTCTGCAGTTTGTTTCACATTGAATCCTCTGTTTTTGAAGCCTGAGGCTTGTGATAGTCACACTAACACAACCCTGGAGCTTCACAAGTCAACAACAACCTGAACCTGAGACAAACTCAAACAGACGTGTTTTTTTTTCTCCATTTTTAATTGAGCCAACAAAACTTTTTGAGCATTTAATATAAATAATGTGTCACAGTCTTACAACAACTGCATAAATCTGCATAATGTGTTTGTCTCCCCGGACCATTCACTGCAAATTCAGCAAAAAAATGCTCAAAAGTTTTAAATACTAAGCTCCAGCATTTGTGATAAAACTGTTTTTGCTGTGAATGTGTGACAGGTGAGCTCCATTTTTTTCCAAAATGTCAACTACTAGTCCTTTGAAGCCCAAAGCGCACAAATGTAAGATTCTGCCAATAGCTAAGGCTCAGCCTCTTGTGCGTTTTTAGTGACTTCAAAGGGATTTCAGACGGATTAGCTCTCTGCAGAAGAGGGGATTAGGAAAACTAACCACAAGACAGAAAAGTTTGGTAAATGTAGTGGGGAGCAGCACACCACAAACTGAACAAGCTTTGATTTCACAGTGTTAAAACAATATGCCATTATAAATCAAAGTCTGTCTTGCTTTTGACTGTTAGGTTGTTGTTTTTTTACATTAAGCTTGATGCTCACCAGTAGAGTTTTGATCTCTCCACCAGAGCGTATGTGTCTCCGTCACCGATGAATGCCCTGCAGTTAAGACAGGTGAAGCATTCTGGGTGATATTTCTGCTCTCCTGCGACCTGTCAGAGAAAAAAAACAAAGAAACAGTTAAGAGAAAAGTGACTTTTGTGTTTTGTAAAAAAAAAAAAAAAAAAAAAATCTTTGAACTAGGACGTCAAAGAGTGTTTCTTTTTTTTCTTGGTCCACAGTGACTTCTGGTAGGAATTCACAGCAGTGGAGCAACAAGCAACATGAGGCTGTAAGGAGTGGTCTAAGAACTAGGGCGAGGTCTGGTCATTGAGGGTAATAGTGAAACCGGGAGATTGAATTTGCTGCTGCCAGATCCCCCTGCAGGGCTCAGGGTGGTTTACAAACAAGAGAGGAAATTGAGTTACGGAAAAACTAACAGAGCCGGCAATGAGCAGATTCATCACAGTGGCAGATCTGAGGACGATGCTGCAGGTGGAGGTTTCCAGTTCAGAACAAACAATGCTAGAGTGATCAAATGAATCACTTTTACTGCTGCTCATTAAAACATGTTTGTCCTTGCCTGTTGTGACTCTGATCGACTGACAAATCAATAAAACAGCCCCCATTTTCACATATCAGTATTGACCCCTTTTAACTCCTTCAGGTAAATGTAAATGACCCACCCACTCCTGTCACTGATGACTTGTATGATTAAACATGAGCTTTCATGTTAAGCACTAAAGGTTGAGTCCACCACAGTATTTTGTTGGGTCTTTTCTTTTTGTGTGCTGAGTGGCAGAAAAAATTTGAGGTAATGGGCCCCCTGGCAGCCCCTCTCAACCGCAGTGATCTGCAATGCTAATGAAGTATAACAGGACTTAGGGGGGGCATGGACCAAACCTGAACAAAGAGTAATCAATCACATGTAAAAGATGAACAGAAAGGGAGGGATTTTGGCACAAAAGATTCAGAAAACATTTCTGAAACATGGAAGTTTAATTGGTTTTATTTCAAATTTCGTATTTCAAATTATTCAGGAGTAAAATATGAGCTCCTGAGTGCAGCCTAAAAAAAAGAAAACAAAAAGCATTAAAGCTAAGCTTAAAATCGCCTGAAGGAAGAATTACTCTTCCTTAAGGGGGGATATAACTGAAACAAAACACTGAAATCGGAGACTAAAAGGCATAACATGTGAAGATCAAAGAATCAATAAAATCATTATAAACCACCATATGTCTGCAGCCCCACCCTTCTGGGAGTGCAGCAGAAACCACAAGCACACAACAAACAGATAAACACAGGCTGCGGGCCCTGAGGCCACAGTACAAGCAGATTAATTAACTGCTTTTTAAGTTATTAATCTGAGCAAATCCTTCCAGCTAAAAGGGAAAAACATGCCACAACTTGGCCTGGATACAAGGAGTACAATAAAGTCAAGACATAACTGTATTCTCTTCTTTCCTTAAGACTGACCCTGCAACCAACTTTCAAGTTGCTGTACATATGTTGTTAAACGGCTATGTAGACAACAACCTCATAAGAGAGCGAGAGAGAGAGAGAGAGAGAGAGAGAGAGAGAGAGAGAGAGAGAGCGCAGATCCATAATGGGTCTGGTAATGAACAAGGGAATGAGGCAGCAGTAGGGCTTCTTGACCAACTTAATGTCTTTATTTCTCCTCCATGCAGACTAAAAGATGGAGGCATAAACAATAATTGTCTGATAATTGCGAGAGTGCGAGTAAATACAACACATCCTAAAAGCAAATATAAAGAAGAGGAAAGCAGAAAGATTGATATTATGTACGGCTATTTTATCATTATTTGTGTGTGTGTGTCACCTAGCTGCAGCCCTACAAATGGGAAAGTCCGGATGAGAGGACAGCTGGACAGAGACAAAAAGGGTGTGTGGCTCTGAACGCCCTGACACTTTGGCTGCCACTTGCTTGCCATGACACACACACACACACACACACACACACACACACACACACACACACACACACACACACAACAGCTGCTGTCCTCACATTAAGTGCATACTTCCTCTCCAAAGTATCTGAATAACAGCGGAGCGAGAGAAATTTCAAAATAAAGCGTCTATGTGATATCAAACCATGTGACTGCTTGACTAACTTCAAATTCAAAAAACATCACATGAATCGACACACCACCAGTTCTGCTTTTTATCCTCACTTAAAACAGATCCGAGTGTCTCAAGACTCAGATGATGTATTTCATTCTTTTCATGAATAAGTTCATCAAGCTCACGAGTGTGTGTCTAAGTTGTAGCTGCTCACACAGCCTCGCAGCGTCTTCTAGAAACTACAACTTTTTTTTTGGTATTTCTAGTCAACAAAAATGGACATCATTGATTTCACACATATATGTGACAACCTGTTGTAGGTCGCACTATTTGTGCAGAAAAGCAACAAAGTCAATAGAGTGATTGTAGCATCACAACGTTTTAGCTTACTCTCCAAAATCCCAGTTTCAATGGTGACTGTTAGTACGTATTTTCATTCATCTTGATAATTTTGTGGATGTATCTTTAAATTGTGTCAACCATCCAAGAGTAATTCTTCTTTTAGGTTTGTGAAGCTGTAATACATATGAGTAAGAGACCTCATAGCAGCACAGTTATATTTGGATTGGAGCCAAGTGTCTGTTGTGAGCAGAGAAGGAAATGTGACTCTGAGACTGAAGAGATGTATACGTCTGATATTTACGAGTCAAGGTGATGTCTTCTTTGTAGCCTTTTAGAGATGACCCGAAGCAGCCAGGAATTTGTGGGCTGTACCTTCTAGCAGAATATAAGCAACACTGTGAAGATGAAGACTTTGGCATTCTGCCACTTTGCCAATGATTGTCAATGGTTGTGAGATCTTGGTCAGCACGGGTCAGCGATGGTCCGCACTTTGTCAGCCATGTGTGTTGTGTTTCTGTGTTGTCTGACCATGGCTGAATAAATCGAAGATGATCCACAATCTGTTTCACGATTTCATCATTGTCCATCTACCACAGAAATAACCCCCACCTAACAGTGACAGTTTTAAATTTCTGTAAAACAAAAGTGACTTGCTGACAGTTAAGTAATGCGAGTACAATTTGAAATATTACATATCCTTCACTTCCTTCGTCATTGTTTTTAGGCCAGTTTTCTGAAAATTAGCTAAATTACGTGGAACAAATGGCCAATAAAAGGTGCAGAGTTGACCGGCATCTCCTGTGGCTAATGCAATTACTATTGACAAGTTCATCATACAACTGCAATAAATAAAAAATAAATAAATCCCTTAAAGAGCAGGTTCAACTGCTGAAGAGGTTCATGTTTTTTAAAACTACAAAAAAAGTCTGCCTAATAAACACTTATTTTGTAGCAGACTCTTTTTCCTTACTCCATTGACTTTTTGTAACTTGATCATGATAAAGAGATAGTTGCATTTATGCGACATAATGTTCACTCAATGTAAATATACTGAAGCAGAAAAAGACTTTGTTGAAGGAAAGAGAAAACCAAAAGGCAATGGTCATCCACAGACACAGTCCACTTGGGGTGTCTGGGCCCTGAAGCATTATTTGTTTTTACTGATTTATGTGTCACCTTGGGTTGGCTTTGGAATGTGAAAGGAGCCTTTTGGGCCATTTGGAGGAATTTATGATGCTCTCATGCCCTCATCGACACTAAACACCTTAGAAACATGTTGGTAGTATTTCATAGATGCTTCATAACTCTTTCAGGCAAGTTTGGGTAAACACTGTTCAGGATATTATAATTACCGGTACTTTGCACCTCGTGGTAATTGTTAAGGAGAGACTGACAATGAATTAGAATCTATGACATGATTAAAGGGGATATCCGCAGATGAGAGTAAAAAATCTTTTTTTTTTAAATAATTTTCTTTTTTTAAGAATATCTCTCTCACTTCTTCTTTTCAGCTTCCCTTTGTCAGTTTCAAACTCAATCATTGGTTTCTTTTTTTCACTCATAACATTAAATGTCAAGACATTTCAGATTTTCCCCACAGAACTTTCCAGTTTTCTCACATCGTTTCAAATTTTTCGTTGTTGATAGTATTTAGAAACTAAATGGTGCTGTGTGTGACTTTGCTAAGTGTCAGTGCAAAGATTGGAAGACAAAACTTCACATCTGTTGAGTGCTTCAGAAGACTTACAGATCAGATCTTTTACTAAATCACGTCATTTAGGAGCTGAAAGCTTTGCCCACACTGAAGTAGATGAGTATTAGTGTTCAACATTGTCAATATATTCAGTTGTACATTGAACTCATCACATAGCTTGTTTCTGGGCTTTTGTTATTTTTGGACTCTCCTTAAACAGAGTACAGAAAGTCATTTTAAGAGGAGATAAATTGTTAATTTCTCAACTTATTGAAAAGCAAAAAAAAAACAATAAACTGCTTCTAACCTTGTCAGATGTGATTAGTGTCTGCTGGTTTGCCTATCCCTTTCTGACACTATCTATCTTAGGGGTTTTGACAGTATTGATATTCTGTAAAAACAAATTTGATCCAAAAGATTAATTTAAAGTAAGTGCAGTTAGGATTTCAGGGTTTACGTTATGATTAATCATATTTTCTTCCTCATTGCACAATTAATACGCATAAAAAACAATAAAGACTGCGTGAAGCACAATGAAAAATTGTCAAGAGTCATGGTTCAAAGCATTTGGCCCATAAGATGAAATCCCAGCGTGTTACCCTCATATTAACTTGTATTAATTTGGGGGCAGCCTAGGATTAACTTGCACGATGGCTAGGGTGAAAGGGAAGAGCAAGGTTTTGTGTTTGAAGAGGACTTTCGGTGGATTCTACTGTGGATTCCAGAGAGGAAATAATCACACAGTGTAAAACCTGTCTAAACAGCAGCAAACACACTTTTAAATATAGCCAACATGATGTGTTAAATTTACTTGATGTCATGGATGGAGGCCATATTGCCATTACGATATTTAAAATGTCAATTCAAATTGCACATTCTCCCCATATTGAACAGGCCTAGTTTATATCCTGTTTATACTTAGCAGGACCTGACCAGGAACCTTTGCATGCCCTCTGGTATCATTACATCTACAAGCACCAAAGAAACCCTGTT